ATAAATGCAGCAAGTTAGTCCTTGCTGCATTTAATGTGAGTTCTGGTAGCCTTATATTTGCCAGCAAATATTTTATTTCTTATTTCTTTATTTCATAATCATATTCTTTACTTATTCATGGAAACAGATCCAGTGAGGTGATTCACGAGTGCTTTTGATAGTTTTGGTGAAATCAAAATTAAAGTGTATGTAAAGCTTAGCTTAAATCAAAATAAAGTCTTTAGTAACAGTCTCTCTCTTTTGGGGACCCTTCCATCTTTGGATCACTAGCATTGCTGGGTGTCACAGTAACCTCTTAGCCATTCATTTAAGACATCAATTAGTAGTTGAAGAATTTGAAAAGAGACTTGGTCTTACTTGCAGTGCCCTGAGAGCCAAAATACAGATTAGGAGCTAAAAGATCAGGCACTTGGATTTTAAAGTCTGGTCTTTGTGTGGGAGCCAACCATGATTTTTTTTAAATTCTGCAATGTGAAGTGAATACATGTGATGAAAATCGTGGCACTCATTGGATTGCAGGGATAGATAGTGATTGCTTGCTCCATGTCCACAGGATGGCACTGAGGGAGAAGGGAGTGGTGCGCTTCCTTGGTTCCCTCTTATTCTCTCCTTTAAGTTCAAGCCTGTAGCTCTATTAGAAGGGAGAGAAAGAGAGTGGGTGTTAAAATAACATGTAGGCTTTGAGACAGGCAGTTCTGGAAGCTACTTAAACAAAACCATTGAGATCATTTTGTCAAGACACTGTCTGGTTCACCAGTAAATGCTTTAAAAGCAAAAAATCAGATCACTTATAACTTCCCTTGTTTGCTGTGTGAGTTACTCTGCAGATTGCTATCTGCACCATCACACCTGTGTTCTGTTGTTCTATTTCCTGTGCATAGAGCGAAGCGCATCAGAGAAATTGTAGGTGAACAAAATCATGTTTAGAAACATCAGCTTTCTCTTGTCATGTTTTGAGTGCAGAATTCAGGCTGAAGCAAAGGAATTAAGTGGAGAATCTTGAGAGCAGGGAGAACAAAGCCAACCAGGCAAAGCACAAAGAGATGCTCTGGTGTCCCTGGAATGTGAAAAGTGAGGTATTGAGCACAGTGGCATTGTCCCCTCTTCTCCTGGCCTGGGTAACTTAATCCTATTTGATGTAATACAGCTTATGAGAAAAGTTCTGTTTTGACATCTGATTGAGGTGACAGCAGTTCTCAAAAATACCACTTCACCCCCAGAAGAAATGGGAAATTACCACTGAATGATGAGAATGGCTGGGTGACTGCAGAGGGGGTGAGCAGAGCACATGGCATGGCTGGGAGAGAAAGAAAAGCAGATCAACTTCATACTTTTTTTTGCACATCAGGATGTTTTTACACTCTTTTTGTTCAATGTCAGTTTGTGGATGTACACGGAAGGTACACGGAAGGCCCTGGCAAGTCATCACACTCCTGAAAGTTGCAAGGCAGAGGAGTCTTTAGCATTTGGGGATCAATGCTTTCTGCCAGTTTTGTTGATGCCTCTGGAAACACTGATGCAGTTGACCTTTGTGCAATCATGTAGCTGTAGATGAAGAAACGTGCAGTGAAATATCTTCAACATAAACTGGGAATACAAAGAAGAGACTTATACAAAAAGAATGGCAAGCTAAAAAATAAGTGAAGCAGAGTTGTTGGTAGTTCCTTTTTTTCTCCAGATATGCCAAAAATTTGGTTATTAGCAAACATAAGGTGAATATTTCCATTAAGAATAATAATAAAGATTTCTAAATTATCCAGGGGTAGGGTAGAAGACAGGACTTAAACATTTTTTAAACCATGTAAAGTCGTTGTCAAGTAAGTACATTTTACAAGATTTTATACACAGGTACACTGAAGCAATTCCTTGACTCCATCTCTGGGATCAGAAAATCTGTAGAGGCAGAAATACAAACAAGAAATTAGTTCTCATGATTTCTGTAGACTGGAATTTTATTGGTATAGAAGCAGCACAATTATAGTGAAGACTGAAAAAAACCTTTTTCTGTATGTAATGCAATGCATAGCTTGCCTTTGTTTATTCTTTTTTCTTTTCTTTTCAATTTCCCAAACAATTTTTAAACTTTGGCATGTGTTGAACTGCATTTTATGAAGTAAAGCAGTAAAGATACTATGGAAAATTCTGATCTTGTTATTCAAAGTGAGTAAATCTTTTTAATTGCTTGTTGATAGATTAGAGATACATTTTTACTTCCCTTAAGGCTTTTGTAAGCCACATTATATCTTTCAGCTGTGTTGGTTTCCAGTTCACCAGTACATTGTGCAGGTTGAATATCCTTGTTCCTTGGCACTGTACAGTTGAAACCCAGAAACAGTAGCTTTGAATATTCCAATATATCAGGAAACACCACATAATTTGATTGTTCAATTGCTGCAGTATGAAACAGCTTAGTCTTTTTTGTGTACATTTGCTTGGATGTTTGCAATTCATGGCACTCTTAACTTTCCTAGCTGTGTAATCTGCCCAGCTCTTCCTGTAGTGCTCCGGTACAAACACCAGCAGTGTGATGGGTGTGGGGGCGTGATTGTGACAGCACAAAAGCTGCAGCATGTGCATAAAAGGAACCAAATCACTTATGTGCAATTAACATGGCCATGTTTCAGAGAGATCGCCAAACCATGGCTAAAAGCATGCTTTTATGTAATTACCTTGTTATTTTCTCTTTGATTTGTATAAACCTGGTTTTTGTTGTTATTGAAGAAAAAACATCGCAGTAGACTATGAACTGTAAAGAATTCACCCTTAATAATATGAACAATAAGTTATTAGTTTAAGTCACTATTAAATTGTGAAGCAATGGAAACTACAGGACATTGTGATGGAAGACAGCTTGGCTTTGAGTATGTTAAATCCAGCCTAATAGGAATAGGTTTTTATGATACAGCAATAAATCTGAAGTTCATTTAAAGGTTAAGTGAACAATTACCACAGAAATTTCTTTCTGGATGCCCAAGAGGAGCACAAAGTTACCAGAACTAGGAGCCAGTAGTTCTGGCAAGGGATTCAAGCATCTCCTTCATGGGACTGATGAATGTAGCAAAACACTCTTGCTCTTCATAGGTAAGCTTTCTCTAGTAGGGCTGGGAGAGGTGTGGGCGAGGTTCTGCGGAGATTCCACACTTGCAATGAATTATGTGTGCTGTAGTTTCACCCCAGCCAGCAGCAAAGATTCTATTCTAGCCACTGTAAAGAACATTAACTACCCCAGCCAAAACCAGCACATTGTGTGATATGTAGTCTTTAATCTTTCAGTTTGCAGAGTAATTGAATATCCATTCACCCTAACTGAATATATGTGTATAATTAAGTTGGCATTGAGGCAGATTTTAGGTTTTGAAATTCCAGGTATCTGGCATTACCACACATCCCAGTTGGGTTGTGCTCTGGCATGGAGACAGCATAACATCTTTGGTTTTTTCCCTACTGGTCACTTTGCATTCTCTTGTGCTAGGCAGGCTTTAAGCATGGCCTGGATTTTCTCTAAATGGAACAGGAATTTCACTCTGGATTCATCAGCTGCAGTATCTCTTGTCAGATGCACACAATGCATTGGCTTTCCTCCCACCACAGTATGGAATTCAGCTGGTGTTTCTGCAAGAGCACAGTGTGTGCCAGTCCAAGGGGCTGTAGGGTTGATGAGTACTGGGAAATCTGAGATTCTTCCACATGCCTCCTTGACAGTGAGAATTTCATCCCTTTATGTGTTGCTGTAAGGCTGTTCTTCACCTAGAACTGCACATAAACCTCTGTTCCTGAGTTACTCATGCAGGAAAAACTGCTTGGGGTTACTCAGTGCTGCTTCCCAAAATGTGTGTGTCTGAACCTTCCCAGAGCCATCAATCACGTCAGATTCCTCTTTTGCTATTAATATTTGCAGTCAGACAAGTAGGGGGTTTGCTAACAGCATGATGAAGGAGTTGTTAAAGCCTAAAAAAGTGAATTTACATCCATTTAATATTTATCTTCCTCTGCCCTACCAGTGATGCTAGTGGAGGCAGTGGCTCTGACTATGTTAGGATAGAAGTAAAACAAAAACAAATTAGCTGATAGATGATTCTACATTTGAGGTAGACAAGGACATGTAACTTGGGTATCCACTAAAAAAAAGGCTTCTGTGTATCAACACTGAAATTCAATCTATTTGTGGTTTTTGTTATAGAGGGAATTGGACTGTCTACAAATACAAGTGCTTCCTACAAAATTATTCTGCTGAATAATGCTCCAATTCATTTGCTATTCCCAACCCCCCTGAAACTCTGCACGCATATCTGCTTAAAATCAGCAACAAGTGTAGCTAGTAATGAAATAATTCAAATTTAGTTTATTTTGTTTCATGATGCACAAATAGGAAGTCATTTAAGTGTGACTGATTGTATTCATCTGCAGTAGCTGCTCATCTGAAATGCTATTGAAATTCAGTAATTGGAGCTCTGAAATACAGTATTTGACAGATGGTGTGGGTGGTTGTGCCATTTCCATGATAAATCTACTTACAAATATAACCATGAAGAAGTTGTGTTCATTCCTTGACTATGGGAACATATAGATGGAAAAAGTGACAAACATGACATATGTGTCTTGGTTCTTCGTTTTCCTCCTATTATGATTTGAATTCTTAAAGTAGTGCAAGAGAGAGGCTTCTTTTACATGTCTGAAAAGGAGTTGCTGAAATATTCCTTCAGTAGCCTTCCTTTTCTTACATTTACTTTGAAGCTTTTCCTACGGTGAATTACTTTTGCAATGTCTTCAAACATCAGTTAGAAAGCATTGCTCATTTTAGATGAAAACATAGTAGATCTTCTCTAAGATACATTTACTGTTAGCTGAAAGTATTGGAGGCTGGAGAGACGGACAGTCCTGTTGCCCCAGGGCTTACTCTTGAAACTTAGAGATGGTAAAATGGTATAAATAAAAAATATACTCCATTATCCAATTTGATTTTTTTTAAAGTTCTTTTTATTCTTTTTGTGTTTTCACAGAAATCACTGATGCTGGTACTAGAGGAACCCAAGATACAATTAAGGGCGTGAAAAGAAAAAAGATTGTTTCTGAAAACCATCTTAAAAAAATACCAAAATCGCCTTTGAGAAGCCCTGCTGAACCCAAGGTTAAGCAAAATGTAGACCCTTCACCGCTGAAAGCTCTTCCGGATGCCTCTGAACATGCCACAGCACAGGATCACCTGCCCGTGCAAAATGGAAATCAATGTACCAAACAGAATGGGGGAGCACTTAGTGGTGAGATAAGTGTTGAAACAACCAAATCTGAGACATCAATGCAGACAAAGCTTTCACTGACGCATCAGTCCTTAGATTTGTGCAAACAGGCAGCGGGGGATACTGATGCAAACCAACTGAACTCAGCAGAGAGGAAGCCTCCCTCAAACTCCTCATCAAGTAATACAAAGACTGACAGTAATGAATGTATTAACTTTGTTGATTGCAGTACATCGTCCCCATGTACGCGTACTGCATTCGATGTCTTACTAAAAGCTATGGAGCCTGAACTGAACACCTTAGCACAAGAGTGCCCCCCTTATGGGATGCAGATAGAGAAACTGAGACCAAATAAAACTGTAAGCACCTCTTCTAGTCTCACGTCCAATACAATAAGTGTCCAAAATCAGTCGTCTTTGTCACAGCAGGAGTTTGCAGCTGGACCTCCCTATTACCCATGTACGTTGAACAATGTGCATGTAGCAACAACAGCCAAGACTGGACAAGCACAAGGCCAATCAGTTTCTCATTCACAAGACCTTATTACTAAAACCAGTCAGCAAAATCACCAGGTTGTTATGTGTCCAAGTTTAACTAGGTCGCTGGTGCAACAGCAGAGTCAAGAAAACCACAAGCTCCAGCAGATCTACAGCATAGCAGTAACTTCATCTGTTGTTCACACCTCATCTTCCACTGTAACTCAGGTTTTTTCTCAAAACCCCTTAGTAGCTAGTACATCTTCACCATTGTCAATTAACACATCAAGTTCAACACACTTGTCTATAGGTCCCGTGTATAATTCAGCCCAGATAGCATCAGTTGTAAACCATGGTGTAGAACAAATATGTAACCTCTTGAAAGACCAGAAGCCTAAAAAGCTAGGGAAATACGTCTGTGAGTATTGCAATCGGGCCTGTGCCAAGCCCAGTGTTCTCCAAAAGCACATCCGATCCCATACTGGAGAGCGACCATATCCTTGTGTGACGTGTGGGTTTTCGTTTAAAACCAAAAGCAATCTCTACAAGCACAAAAAATCTCATGCACACGCTATCAAACTTGGACTTGTCCTGCAACCAGATTCAGGTGGCCTCTTCTTATCTCATGACTCGGACAAAGCACTTAGCATTCATTCAGATGTGGAAGAAAGCGGTGAAAGTGAAGATGAAGGCACTGCAGATGAAAGACAAGATGATCAAGAACTGGAACCTGCACAATTAGTGAAAGTAATTCCAAGTGCAGAAACACTGCAGAAAGGAAGCCCTATTCCATTAAGCAACCCAGACTGTGTGTCAGGTGACTCTTCATTACATGATGCAGAGCCTCAAGTAAGGGCAGCTTTACCAAAAGTAGTGGTTCATTCTGTAAATGTTTCTCCATTGAGGGCCGATAGCCCAAAAGTGACAGAGCCAGCACCTGAGCTTGCTGCAGCACAGAGAAAAGGAGATTCTAAAGTCACAACCCTTCAGTCAAATTTAACACATACAGCCTCATTCAAGGAGAATGACATAAAGCAGCATCAGAAAGTAGAAGCAGGCCTGTTAGAGGAACAGCCAGTATCTACAGGAGGACCAGTGCATGCTCAGCTCCAGAGACAGCAGGCTACTGATGGTTCTCAGGATCAGCAAGGAAAATGTCTTTTGAGCCCTAGAAGTTTAGGTAGTACTGATTCCGGTTATTTCTCTCGTTCCGAAAGTGCCGATCAAACAATGAGCCCTCCAGCTCCTTTTGTAAGGGGATTGTTGACCTCTGAGAAAGATCCAAATAAAAATCTGCCCTGTGTGCCACGAGCAAGTGGTATGGTAGCATCAGTGGTACAAACTGTTTGTGCTGACAAAAATCTGATTCTCTCTGGCCAAATGCGACCACCCTTGGCAACAAAAACTCTTGAGGAGCGTATCTCAAAGTTAATTTCTGATAATGAAGCTGTTGTGGATGACAAACAGTTAGATAGTGTGAAACCAAGAAGAACATCTCTTTCAAGAAGAGGAAGCATAGATTCACCAAAATCTTACATATTTAAGGACTCTTTCCAGTTTGATTTAAAGCCCATGGGAAGAAGAACTAGCTCAAGCTCTGATATACCAAAGTCTCCTTTCACACCCACTGAGAAATCCAAGCAAGTTTTTCTTCTTTCTGTACCATCCCTTGACTGTTTACCTATAACACGAAGTAATTCCATGCCTACCACCAGTTACTCAGCAGTACCTCCTAATGTCATACCTCCCTCTCATCCTCTTCGAGGAAGCCAGTCATTTGATGATAAAATTGGCTCTTTGTACGATGATGTTTTTGTGTCGGGACCTGCTGCTCCACTGAACCAAGGTGGACATCCTCGGACCCTGGTCAGACAGGCAGCAATAGAAGATTCTTCTACTGGTGAAAGCCAAGGTCTTGGACCTGTGCGATCTGTAGAAGAAAATTATCTGGGGTGTAATTTATCAAATGAATCCTTATTGCAAAGGAGCAAATCTCTGGCACAGGGATCAAATTCAGAAAAAACAAAGAAGTCCCCTCAGGTGCGAGGAACAATGTTTGAATGTGAAACCTGCAGGAACAGATATAGAAAACTGGAAAATTTTGAAAACCACAAGAAATTTTATTGTTCAGAGTTGCATGGACCTAAAACTAAAGCAGCAGTCCGAGAGCCTGAGCACAAAACTGCTCCAAACAGTACACAACCTCAAATTCTACACTACAGAGTCACAACTTCAACTGGTGTCTGGGAGCAGACACCCCAGATAAGGAAAAGAAGGAAAATGAAAAGTGTTGGTGATGATGATGACCCACAGCAAAATGATACGAGTGTACCATTAAAGAACGCAGAAGGCCAGAGCAAGCCAGCAAATTCTTCCAGTCTGTCAAAACACAGTGCCACAACTGTGGTAGGATCACAACAACCAAGCAAACTTCTACTTCAGAATTCCCAAATTCAGCTTGTGGCTCGTGGCACAGATCAGACTACTGAGCCAAAGATGGCTTCCCTCATTGAAAAGCAGGCAAGTTCAGCTGTGCAAGAAAAGGTGGAGTTGAAAAGACAAGGGACTGGCATTTCAGTAATACAGCACACAAATTCACTGAGCAGAAATAGCTCATTTGAGAAATCAGAGTCATTTGAAAGAGTATCTCCAGTTTCTTCTCAAGAGCCCAACAAGGGTGCAAAGCACCGCTCTTTGAATACAGTTGTAATCCAAGAAGACAGACACTCTCATCTGAGCACTCCCCAGCGTCACCAACCCTTGTCATCAGAACCACCTAGAGGGGAAGTTCAGGGAAGCCAATTAGTTTCTAATGAGAGAAGTGCACCACTTCAGCCATCAAGACTCGTTCGCCAGCATAACATCCAGGTTCCTGAAATACTGGTCACAGAAGAACCAGACAGAGAGCAAGAAAACCAATGCAATGACCCAGAAAAGACAGAAAGGTTTAACTGGCCACAACGCAGTGAAACGCTGTCAAAATTGCCAACAGAAAAGCTTCCACCGAAAAAGAAGAGAATTCGGCTGGCTGAAATGGAACATTCATCTGCTGAATCCAGTGTTGACTCCACACTTTCCAGAAGCCTAAGTCAGGAGAGTAGCTTGTCTCATGCCTCCAGTTTCTCAACTTCACTTGATAAAGATGAAACTGTAAAGGCTGAGAACCCTTCCAAAGCAGAGCCCATTAGTAAGTCGTCAGAATTCCTCATGATTCCTGCTGGCTCACACTCACTGGCAGTGCCTGGACCTCATTACCGGGAAATGAGACGTGCTGCCTCAGAGCAGATCAGCTGCACGCAGCCCTCAATGGAGGTTGTGGACTACAGGAGTAAGTCTTTCGACTGTGGAAGCATGTCTCCATTAAAACCTGTCCCACTTGTAGAGGTAGCTGCTCCAAAAGTGTCATCTGCAAACGGAGCTGCTGGACATGTGCCTCTGCTAGAAAGGAGAAGGGGGCCATTTGTAAGACAAATATCTTTAAATATTGCTCCCGAAAATCAACAGCCTCAAGTGAAATCGACTTCTTCATTGCAGGCAGCTCATGCCACAGATGTGCCCACAGTGCCATTGCACAGGCTGCAGACCTCTGGCAAACCCTCAGTGGAGTTTCCTTCAAGTACTCAGCACTCACAGACTAACTCCAGACCTCATTCAGCTATTCAAAACTGTAATCCTGTTAGCCTGTCTTCGCCTCAGCAGCCTCGAGATCACATGTTGAATAATCAAGGCCAGCCATCCTTGACTCATCAGCCTTCTCAGCCGTCTACTAAAACATCAGCCCAAGGGGAGCAAGCAAGCGCGAACTCACTTTCTTGTCATCCTGATGAAAAAAAGGACTGTTTTGCTCCAAAGTATCAACTTCAAGTTAAAACATTACATATAGGTCAGCCATACTCTTCTAAATTACTAAAAAATACTTTATCAACTCAGACTGGTTCGAATCAAGTTGGGGTGGACCAGAATGCATCTTCCTTTGAAGTGCAGACAAAACTCTCTGACGTGTCTAATCCGTACTCTGTGCCTCCTCTAAAGCAAATTGTTCCCAATAACTGCAGCAGTCAGATACATCAGATTCCTCCTTTTGTGGTTCCCGTCCGTATTCAGAGCAGCATGCCATCCTATGGCTTCGCAACTGTTACACCCCTGCCTCACATTTTAGTGACCCAGGATCAGGGAAATCAGTCCCTCTGCAAAACAAATGTTGTGATGGTGCCAACGCTTGAAGGCAAAACTCAGCTGCCAAAATCTCACAAAGATCATCAGAGGACTTTGCCAAATTCATTTGAATTTGAAAATTCACCACTGGAAAGTGGAACCAGAAATTCACCTTTGTCAAGCTCTTCAAATATCATTCAGAAAGTGCCAGTTAGCGGACTCTTCCCTCAGCCAGAAGTTACAGCTTCAAGTAAACGAATGCTTTCCCCAGCAAACAGTTTAGATATTGCCATGGAAAAACAGCAAAAACGTGTTAAAGATGAGAGTGGAGCTGCTTGTATGACAGATGCTAGATCATTACATTCACTGAGCATTAGATCTAATGACCCTACTAGTAAGCAAAAGAAACCAGTTTTGGTAAGACAGGTTTGCACCACAGAGCCTCTTGAAAATCACCTCTTGGATCCTGATGTTGTAACACAGCATGAAAAAAGCAGCAAGGCCAGTACTTCAGACCTGCCTGACCATCAATCATCTGACACTGGGGTTTCAGAAACCCTGAAAAAGTCACCAGAATCTGAAGACCTTAAGTCTTCCACATCGCCAGTATTTGTAGTTAGGAAACCTTCTGAACTGTCTCCAGTGAATAGTTCTCTTCTCAAGGCTGTAAGTAGCAGCCAAGAAAGAAGGTCCCCAACTAACAGTGATGAGAGCACCCACATCAGCAGCCCGGGCCAAGCAAAGCCTGTAGCGACACTGGCCGTGATGAATGCAGGAGAATTGCAGAGGTTGTCGTTTCCAAGCCTCAAGACCACAACAAATTTTACCTGGTGTTACCTCATGAAGAGAAAACCATTGCACCTGCTGCAAAATGATCAAAAAATCTCTGCCTATTCTACATGGACCATTAGTCCCAACAACCCCAATCCACTCGGTTTGTCGACAAAGGTAGCTCTCTCCCTCCTCAATTCCAAACAGAAAGTTGAAAAGCCACTGTACACTCTAGCAAGAACTACTCACCCCAGATCTGATGTATTGGTCTATTCAAGCAAGTGGAAGAACAGCTTGACCAAGGTACTTAAGCTATGTTTGATGTATACTGATCATTTACAGAGGATTTGCTTTGGAAATCATGCTTCTTCTTATTTTAGAGAATGTAATATGCTGGACACATACCATATATGTGCTTATTTATTCTAATTATGCTGGATCAAACTGCTAAAAAGATCTTAAGTAATTCAATTAGGAAACCTAATTAAATAAGGATTTATCATTTTTTAATGGGAATTAGTTCCTGGGCTTAAATCTGTGTATTGAGTGTTGTGGCAGAAATGTGTCTGGCTATTTTTTTGTCATGCAAAGGGTAGAACAAAGTAAGTCTGATATAAATATTTTTTAAACACTTCTAACTTAATTTAAGATCATAATTACATATTTTTCCTTAAAATTCAGCTAAGGAAAGAACAATAAGGGTATTTTCTGCTTCAAAAGAGTACTCAGCTTAAGCAGGTGTCCATGGATACACCATGAAAACAGTTTTCACCATCACTGATCATCTAATTGTGAGAGGAACATTTCCCTTTCTTCCACCTTAGTTAATCAGTGGTGTGAAATAATGACAAAAATAGCAAGGTTTAAACAAAATTGCCACTGCCATAAAACCACTGACGACTTCTTGGGTTGATATGGTTCCAAAGATAACATTAAATCTTGTGCCGAGGAATATAATCCAGGCAAGGTTGTGACCCACATAAAAAACCACATCATTCCAGACTCCAAAGTGGCAGAGCAAAATAGTCTCTTATTATTTCCTTAGCTGTATTGGGCCTGCACAGATGTGATCAAGATTTTACTTGCTGGACACTTTTGTTACAGAGAGGACCTGAAGCTCTTTGGTTTAGACTGGATTTGGTGTCCTTAGGGATTGAACCACCGCTCTGCATGGGTGAAGGTGGCTCTTAGCCCTGCATCATGGCAGCAGGTGTCTGTGTCTCTGTAATGGACCCAGTAGTGGATTTTACTGTCTCATCTACTGAAGTTGTAAAGCTCTCTGAAGCGTGCAGCATGGTTTCGTGCTTTTCCTTCCTCTGCACTGCATACACTGTGTCTTTGGTGTCAAACACATTGGAGCTGGCAAAAACAGGGCATCCACAAAGCCATAGACCTTCCTTTTTCCATGATCCTTCAGGGCATGGAAATGGTTTGGCAAGGGAGTGAAGGTAACTGAAATTTGTCCTACTGCCATCAGCAAAAGGTCCCAGACATTGGGATTCAGGGTCCATAAGCCAGCAGTCACTCTAGAGGAGACATTCCACAGGCTCGGGAGAAGACCCCTGTTTGTGTGGGTGTTGAGGAACAGAAACTGCTGCTGTCAGAGGTCACCCTGGAATGTTTCTGTGTCTGCTAAATGTTTTGCTAAGATACAGCATTGTCAGTGGGGAGAAAAGCAATAGCAAGAGAAACTGTGTGATAAGTGAAGTAGTTTCAGAATTACAGGAAGATATGCTAAAACCTTTAAGGCCAAAAGGGCAGTGGAGTTAAATGTGGTCCTCCTGAAATCAGTGGGAGACTTGCTAACATTTATATTGGAGTTCAAAACTTTATCCATAATGTTCCCTGTAGAAAATGCATACAGGCTGCTGATTTTGTTTTTAGTGCTGTATTTGAATCAAGTTGTTGGTTCCATGTTAGTGTGCTGCCTTGGTTTAAACTCTTACTGCTTTTTTTTTTTTTCAGTGTGCTTCCTCATACATTTCATGAGATGTTGCACTTGAATAGTGCTAAATTTAAAAAAAACCAAAAAGGAAACAAATGTTTAGCTTTTTCATTGTGTGTAGTTGAGCAAGTCTTTCTAAGGCAAGTCTCACATCCTTGTGTCATCGAGTCATATTTGTTTTATTTTTGAGGAACAGTCTTTCAGAAGAAATTGTGTGATAGCAAAGCAATTGTATGCCTCTTAAAAAACAGATTTTCTGTACAAACAAATTCTGTTTAGAATACAAATAATGGATAATAATATTTTTTAAAAATATTTTGACAGCACCATTTTAAAACACTCCAGGAGTGCTTAAATGCTGTAATAGGCAGCTGTCAGGTACATTTGCAGTGCTTCTGCCACAAAAGAAACACAGTTACTAATCTTTCTTCAGTCTTTCTTGCTGATGTTTTGAATGAAGCACATGAGCATGATGGAAATGAAGAGTTTTTAAGCTCTGCTTGGGCTGATTTACAGGCTTTGCTCAGAGCCATTAATAAGGAAAAAAGTGCAGCAAATAGCACCAATTAAAGTTTAATTGGCACCTCAGATTGCATGAGCAAGGTGTACCGTGGCAGAAGTAAAAAATTTCAAAGACCTGATCTAATTCTTCCGGAGTTTGTCTGCTTTCCCTTCTAATGATTACAGTAGCAGGATTTCAGCTGTTTTCCAGAATGATGTTGCTGCTGCTGTTAAAGTGTACCGCTGTGTTACCAGTCTCCAGTTAGACCTGGTAATGGAATAGCTGATGCCAGCTTGGAGTCTTCCTCACAGAAGCCATATTTTAAAAAAGCAAAAACTGAAATTCCTCAGCTCAGGCCCAGTAATTCCACTGTTTCGGTATTTTTTGGTTGGAGTCTGAGGATGGAAAACATTGGCGATCGTTTTGGAAATTAATAAGCCATTAAAAAAATCCAACAAACACAAAATCAAAAAATCCAGCACAAACAAAACCAACAAAGAAAATGGCAATGGCAAATCATTCTAAAAAAAAAAGTGGTTGATTTCCTGCTTAGAAGCTTGGCAGGGTCCTGAGTTCCTTGGGGAACCATGGTTTGGATTGCAGGTGTTGGGGGTTGTGTTTGCTCAAGTGGTTTGCACATTCTAACCCTGATCTGACAGAGAGCTTTAAGTGCTACCACAATCCAATTTATGAATAATAATAAAAACGCAGTACTGTTATGTCTCACCTCCTCTCTCAGAGCTGTAGCCCTTTCCAGACTCATTTGGTGTATTCTGCTGGTGGGGCTCTAACTGCTGATCTTCTCACAGAGATAAAGCAACTTGCTGAACTGTTCTGGGTTTGCCCCCAGAACTAAACCATGTTTACAGATACCTCATGCTGCTGCATAACCACTACTAATCACTGTCACCAAAAAAGGCAGCTCTTTCAACAATAGGTACCACGGGAAAGGAAAATGCACGTGAACAAAATGCAAACAAAAAGGAACCCAGGGACTTTGTTTGCTCTTCACAATTCACTGCTCAGAGGCAATAGGTGAAGTTGCCACGTTCCAGTGATTCAGAAAACAAACCACAAAATGTTATTGTGAAAGAAGCTCCTGGAATGAGCGCAGCATGTTAAAATGTAACAGGAGGTTTCACCTGCATGGAAAAGGCTTATTTTATCTCCATCTTCTTTTTATTTTATTGTTCCATTTATTACTACTTTTCACCAGTTTTTCTCACTTGAATTCACTGGTGTTATATCTTTCTCAAGCCTCCTCATTGATCTTGGCTCTTCTCACTAAAGTGAATCAGTAGTGTGTGCAATATTCCAGGGTGATGATTTTTGAGCAAGGGTAGGCTGAAGAATGGAAAGTTTCTCCTAACTGTGGAAAACTTTCCTTTCTTGGATGATATGCCACAGCAGTCCAGCTCACCACTGGAAAGTAGTTAAATGCAGAAGATTTTTATATGTAAACTAGTAAAAGGTTAAAGATATTAAAAACATTTTCCCCAAGTGACTGTGTGCCAGTGGGAAAAATCTTTAATGAATATTCTAATCTGAAATTTATAATTTTGATGATTCAGACTGCAAGCATGTTTTTTTTCCAAAAGATGTTGTAAGGTACCAGAAGTATCTGTTGAACTCTGGTCTCTGGACAGCCCTAAGAGCAATTTTTTTCAGTTTTATATTAGTAATTGAGGACAGTGGAGTTAAATTGGAGCAAAATGAGTAAAGTAGGAATGAATCATGGCCCTTTTCTCTATAGCAGTAGAGAGACAAGTGACTCTGTTAAAAAACAAAAGGCAGAATAATCACAGAGAGGAGCATTTTCCAGCACTGCTGTTTTTCTGCCTTTTCCACCAGTTCATGTGGGGTTTGAGGAGATTTCAGGTGAGGTGCATTAAAGGATTTCCACACTAGAAACCTGTGCTAGTTAGAGACTGGTTGCTCTTAAAATGGATAGAGGGGCCAAGTCATTTTCATCATCAGTTTGAAATTTTCCAGAAAAAGCTAAACAGACTGCTTTTTTCATTGTCAGTTGGATTTCTGTAGATTTCTGTGATAGAAACTCAGTGTTTCTTTTACTCTGATATCACCATTTTACATGTCCAAGACACTGGAGCAATTTCCTAAAGCAGCAAATAACCATTAAACTTAAGTACAGCAGAGGAGGTAAAATAATTTTAACACATAAGTTGGGCTGTCTTATATCTGTACATAGACAAGTGTTTAAAGAAAGATTAGGTGGTGGGAGCATGAGAAGTACTTGGTTTCATGCTAGCTTTTTCATTCTAAATACTTTTGTAAATATACAACTTATTGTAACAGTTTCATCATAGTTTGGATAACAGCGTGGGTCTAGGACTTCTGTAATCTTTCCTTTTCCTTTGTCTTTTCACTATTTAAAAATAAATCTGGAAAAAAATAAATGGTATATAGTATTGAAGGATCAGACACTAAAAGATTGCATTATTTCAGCTGCTGGAAATATTAATGTGTTTGGTTTATTGTGTGTATTCTGTATTTTCCACAGCTCTCTTCCTGTTAAGCTACAAATCTCACCTTGTTACTCTTTGTTTGCAGTGGAAACAAAAGCAGTTTGTGTGCCAGGTAGTGTATAGGAACTGCAGAGTGGCTGAGTTGTGATTATTGGAGCAGGCTTCACTTCTGATATTTCTCAACCAGAGCATCATCTCCTTTCACCTTGTATGAATGCTGTTAAAACATGCAGGGTGAAATTTCTTTCCTACACACAGGCAGAGTTGGCATGTGTGCTTGGTAGAAGTGCTCAGACATTTGAAAATGCAGCCTGAATCAATGCAGGGGGCTGTGTGAGGGTGTATGGATTGGGGTAGTGCTTGTGCATGTGCAGCTTCCTGGGGCTTTCAATGGAATAGGAAGATGCTTTTCCTCTGCTCTGTGTTAATTCCTTATCCTGTGAGAATTAGAAGTGAAGGCAGTGTCTGAGGCTGCATGAAGGACAACGGGCCAGAATGATGTCACCCTTCAATGTATGTAACAACCAGCATAACTGATCAGTCATTTTAAGCCAGCCAGTGAAGTCATTCCTCTTGCCAAGAATTCATAAGCTTACAGCATTAAATTTTATAATGAGTGAAAAACATAAGGCCAGACTTTTTTTCCTCTCATCATTTTATTCACTTATCAATATGAGCAAATGAGGTAAATGTGCCAGCTACGTGGGTAGAACAGTTTATAAATATAGCTGTAATAATTGCTGGCTAATTGGATCATTCCTTCATTGTTGCCCATTTTATAAATATCCTAGGGTTGGAAGGAGTAGATTTTAATTGGCAAATGTTGGAGGAACTCATCCTCCTTAAAACAAACAAAAAAAAAGTTCCTCGACTAATAATCAAGCAAAGTGAAGAAATAAAATCTTGTTCTGCTAGACAACTGTATGCTTTTTCTTGTAATTTGGTCTGGCAGTGGGAAATTAAGTGTGGAATCTTGCTTTGGGAGGGTTCTGGAACCCCTGTTAATAACCTCATCAAATGGGAAGCAGTCAGTCTCCAGAGCAAAAGAGCTGTAGTTCTTGAAAATCATTAGCACTCAGAAATGTTACCTGTTAATAACCTCCTTAGCTACACCCCTCCTTCCCACCCTTCTCTCTGCTGTGCCATGGGAAGGCAGCTCCTGCATGGGGTGCTGCTGTATCCTGGGTCAGCAGACAGGCTGGTCCAGGTGCTGCTGTTCAGAAAGCACTTTGGTTTGATTGTACACATCTTTCTCTGAAGGCTATTTGTGAGCTAAAAAGCATAACCTTTATCTTTCTAGGACAAAGAAAAGGAATGTCCTGCTTCAGACTCAAAGCATTCCTGGTTTCCTACAGGGCCATAATCTCTGTATAGATTTAGCAGCCCACAAACAGGCAATGCATAGTAGAGAAGAAGTTTAGCAAAAGATATTTTTTGTTTCATGTATCTTAACAGTTTTAAAAACCAATTATTAGAATTGTGGCTTTTATGATGCTTTTATTCACAATAACTTGAATGTCTCAATAGCATATGAAAGATGCTAATTTTAATGATAAGCATATCTCATTTTCTTTCAGAGAGGATTAAACAGGAAAAAATTGACTCCAACTGAATTCAGCAATAAGGAAAACTCTGAATCGAGCACTGAACATGATAAAGAAAATTCATTTATCAAAACTGTACCAAGAAGAGTTAAAATATTTGATGGAGGGCAAGTATTGTACTTTGTATACTAGATATCATTGGAAAGATATTTTTTCCTAGATTCTAGACTTTGCAGAAATGTTGCTTCCTGGTTGATTTATTTTAAACAACAGTTGCCATATTGTGGTCTGTGGATGTTAGTTTATGTTTCCAAGAAAAATGGAAAGTCATCAGTAGCATGGAGCCATGAGAGTTATGAGAAGGGGTAATAAAATAAAGAACAGTAGGCTGTGCAATTCATTTTTTTTCCCAGGGAATGAGCATTAATCAGTGCTAAGAGCAGCTAGATACAGCCAGAGATGTAAATTCTGTTCCTATGTTTCTCTTAGATGATAAATAATACCTATTCTGCAGCAAGGTTGTATAACTGTAGCTGGAGAGGAAATAGTCCAGGGGCTAAGCAGCAGCCTGCAGTGCCGTCTCTGTCTGGCAGCTTGCTGTGGCATACACAGGCTGGAGAGCTCTGATTTGAAAAGTGCCATGGAAATATTTACTGAGAGCCCTCCTCCCTGCACCATAATACTTCAAATCTGCTGCCTGATGTAAATATCTGTTGCTTTAGCTACAGTGTTGCACTATGTGCAACATCTTATAAAATTTTTAAATAGAAACGCGGATTTTTAAATAGAAAAGTGCCAGTGACATCTGTAAAATTTTGTAGCATAAATAGTTCATGTTTGATTAGTCTCAATGGTCAGCTCTAGGGCTTTAGTTACTGGTTCCCAATTTGAGGCCAGCAGTTAAATCATTACCAGCTGCCCAGGTAAAATATTGTTGTGTCTCTGCTCCGATGCAGACATTTCAAGGACCAGGTCACAAAAGTGTAACACAACATTTGGCATCCTTGAGTGGAAATATGAAGGGCATAATTGAATCTGAATGACTTTTTCTATCTAGAAACAGTCCCCATAGGCTGAGTCCAGAGGACATTGATAGGGAATGTTATAGACTTTCTCATCATTGTAACTAATGTTACTCCTTTTCTGCACAAGGCAGGGCTTCCAAGATGCTCTTTTAAAGCTCCCTCAAGCAGGTGCTCAAATCTGCTTCCAAGAACTGACACCTTTAAAAGATATGTTCCTGTGTTGCTAAGAGGAAATTTGAAATCTTTAAATACTTAGTATCACCAGTACCTTTATTTAAAAAGATTAGCTTCTATTCCTAAACAGGTCTATGACTAGCTAGTGATAAATATAGATACAAATTTAACAAATACATGCAGGAGTGAGCAGGCAAAGAGCATGATTGGTTTTGTCAGTCATGGATTTTCATCTAATGTGTTATTTTAAAAATTCTGGTAGATGAGGGATTCTAGCTAGACTCATTTTTCCATTACAACTGATGGCCTACTCTCATGGTACTGTTACTAGGTACAAGTCAAATGAAGACTATGTGTATGTGAGAGGGAGAGGGAGAGGGAAGTATATCTGTGAGGAGTGTGGAATACGCTGCAAGAAGCCCAGCATGCTGAAGAAGCACATTCGCACGCACACCGATGTCCGTCCTTACCACTGCAATTACTGCAACTTTTCCTTCAAAACTAAAGGTAAGGCTACTTTACTGGGTATGTTTTTCCCTTTTGTTCTTTCTACTTTAAAGTACAATTCTTTTCTTCTCTCAGTTGACTGTTCATGAACTAAAGAGGTTCCCTCTCTGTGGCATTTTATTATCTCATGCTTCAAATATTTGTAATTTATTTCCTGCTTTTCCTTTGTATTCTGTGTATTTATTCATATGATCACATCTTCATATGAATGAACTGTCTGGCATGCCACAGCGGGTGAGAAATTGGAGTGGAAGAGGGAAATCATGGGAGTATGATGAAGGTTAGGTGGAGACAAGTGAGATGGTTAGCTGCTCACCCTAGATAGAGATGGGACACAGAATTTTAAATCACTTACAATGTCTTTTGGAGGTAGGAGATGGACATATATTGTACTCATAGTGGCACTCAACCAATTGCTCTAGGAAAGAAATTGGCCTCTAATAAATTACTATGTTGAAATAATTTTTTTTTTTTACTCTTGAAGGACAAAGGTTCACTTTCCACTTGACCTTCTAAGACCCAGAGTTGGATGTCTACTTTTTAAAGCCTATTTATAACTTTAGATACTTAAGTGTATCCCAGTTTATGCAGGCAATATATTAAACAGTGGTACATCCAGAACTCAAGTGAAACAGACAGGAGAAGTTCACAGCCAAAATAATTTCAAAAAAAAAAACAGTAACATTTTTCTTGGCTTTGAACATCATTTAGCAACAATTTCCCCCAAGCTGTAACCTCAGGAACACTTGTGTTTTTAGTGGGTTTGAGACTATACAGTGGTTGGGTGGAAGACTTCCAAGAAATAACGCGGTGCTGTACAAAGTGGGATGAATAGGCTTCAGATGTGTCAAAACTCATCACTGCATCCTGACAGGCTGGGTCATCATATTGCCTTTATGATGAAACGCTGGAGTGCAAACCCAGTAAATTCTCATTATGGTTTTTGCAGAGGAGGGGTGCTGGCCAAGTTCAAGTAATTAAGTTCTGCCCATGTAAAGATCTCCCTGGTGTCAGTCATAGCAGATATTTGCATTCACATCCTCTTCTGCATTTGCTGTGCCTGGCTCGTGCCATTGCTGCTGGCAGTCAGGTCACACAGTTGGTTGTTTGATGTTTGGTAAGCCACTCGTCATGACAGGACAGTGTAGCCAGCAGCTTCATGAAGTGTGCAAAGACTGGAAAAATTGCTATTTGTGAGTCAATTATATCACAACAATTATTTCAACATTTGGGATGAGTTACCACCTTCATTTCAAAGCAGAAATAAAGTACTCCATAACCATCGAAGATCAGCATTACACTTTAATTTTTCCTATTTAAACACCTCCAAGAAACATTTTTTGTGAAGTCTGATGTGGGCAGTTACTTCTAGTAACATACATTTTATAATTTACAGATCTGAGCCACTCTTAGCCATTTCTTGATATTTACCATATTTCTCTATACCCTTTCTTTTTAAAGGAGAAGGGGAGAGCAGCCTGTGGGGCCTCTCAGCTGCACATTCACTTTTGAGATTCAAATCAAGTATGTTCATGCTCTGATTTTGAATAAAATTAACATGTTTGCTTAAGTTGGCATTGAAAGTGTTTACACTAAAAATAGAATTCATCAAATACTGGAAGAGCTGCAAGATATGAACTTCAGTTTCACGTGATAGTTTTCTGTCAATATGACTCTGAAGACTGAATCACCCCTTTTTATACTTTGCCATAAACAAAGGAGGGATCTCTTACACCAGTACAAAACACATAATAATTTAGAATTTCCATCCTCTTCTATTTTATCGCAATAAAAATCTTCCTAAATGTAGACAGTGAGTTGGTAACATTCAGGACAGTGAATCTCCTGCAGCCCTTGACAGCTTGCATTGAGGGACAAGGTTCTAGCAAGTGTGAAATCAAATTATGAGGTTGTTATAAATGTACCCGAAGAAGGGATTTTCAAGCCGTTCTTGTTGAGCATATATTTGTAGACATTTGTATAGTCACAGATCAGTTAATGGTTTTTTGTTTTTTTTTTTCTTAAGGCAATTTAACAAAGCATATGAAGTCAAAGGCACATAGCAAGAAATGCATGGATTTGGGAGTCTCAGTAGGCTTAATAGATGACCAGGATGGAGAAGAAGAATTTGGTAAGAAATTGAAGTCTTCTTTCTTTATTGAATTATTGTGTCTATTTTGTCATCTCAGCTTCTTACCCTTTCTTTTCCGAAGATTTTTAATTATTGTACAGGGAAAAGATACAGAGAGAAAAATCTTAAGAGCTAGTCCAAGGGAGCCAGAAACACTGAAAAAATTTTCCCTGAAAGAAATGACAGGCATATGCTAAGGATAAATTGCTGCTGAATTTTTCACAAAGTGTTATGCAGTTTAACTTTATCACTTTCACAGATAAATATGACAAGATTGAAAATACCAGAAAAACAGCTGTTTGCCTAGAAAAAATGCAGTCAAGTGTAGTGCTTCTTTGAAAATAGTTGTGCATGAAATGGTCCAAGTTTTGGGATGCATATTTCATGGAAATTAAATCACTAACATGCCACACAAATCACAAATATGTTGCTGAGTGCCTTGCAAGGAGGTTAATCACCTTCCAGCATAGAATTCTGTCCTCTGTCACAAATAATTGGGATGAATCTGCAGATAGAGAACATACAGAAATTAAAAACATTATTCATCTTGACTTGTTCTACTTCTTCATTAGTGACGAGAATGTTTTCAGAATGAATGTATTTGCTAAAAAACTTGAATTCTGCACTTCCCACATCCCAAGAAGATTCTACTGAAGAGGACATGAGATCAAGGACAGTCAAAGAGGCCCAAACCAGGTTCATGAGTGACTTGCTTGTCATGATAAGAAAGGTGTGCCTGCAGCAGGGCCAGTGAGATGGAGAGCAGGATTGTGCATTAGGACAGTTTGGGATCTCGGCATGTCTCAGTGCAGCCATGGCGTTTTCCCTCCCTCGCATTCCTCCGTGGGGAGATGAATCGTGTTGCCTTGCCTTGGTGTATTTTTCTCCCTCCAGTGGAATAGTTTATTAGATTGTGGATGAGGCTTGGAGAAAAGATAGCAGTGGGGTCTTTATTTAAGCTATAAGAGAAAAGAAAGATGAATGCACTTGCTCCCATATGACAACCACTGGCAGAATAAGCGAATTATCTTGAATCTAATTCTAAATAATGCTGGGAATATGACTCAGCTGCTGTGATTCAGTAGTGCACTAGGTAGAAAGAAACCTGTGTTTTTCCCATTTTTGGCCTTCTTCAATGTACTGTTTTTTCGTAAGCAAAAAATATGTCTCCCTTCCCAATTTGAGGTACCAGATAAATTATACAGAAGATAAGCAGCAGGGTAAATTACTGTATTTTTCTTACAGAGGAACAATTTTTATTAATATTTTCAGTCTTCATATGACAGAAAAATTGTCACTTTTTTAAGCAATATTCTCTAGCATTTGACATTTTTGTGAGTTCTCTAAGCGACAAGTGAACAGATATTTCCACTTACTAGAAACTGAAAACATTTTATTGATTGATAAATTGATATTCCAAATGGCATGCATTAAAAGTTGCATTTGTGATTATAATACAATGGGAAATGTTTCAAATGTTAACTGAATTTTCAGTAACATGGAGTCAAAGGAAGCCACTTCAAACATTCGTTGAATGAATGCTTTCCTTTGACTTCAAGACTATTCAATTGAGAAAGAGAAAAGAGAGCGGCTTTCCCTTTTTACATATCATGTACAGGCATGTTTGACCATAGCATAAGTATATATAAGTATTATATATGCCCTGAAATATGTTCTTTGCTCAGCAAGGTAATTACCTAATAAATGAAATACTCTATTTTGAAAAAAAAAAAAAGCATAGACACTTACAGGATTTGTTACATAACCCTTGAAATTCTTCATAGAATTTAATTTTATGGCTACAATGCCTATTTTGTTTTTTCCCAAAATAGAAGATGTAGCACTTCTTTCTTTAACTGGAGCCCCAAACCAAAATAACCACTTGGTGATAAAGCCCTGCCTTTTCCAAAGGATCTGGCTCAGGTACCCATAGCAAAACCAACAGTGCAGCACAAAGTTCAGCACTAGAAACCTATCCAAGAATTAGGGTAATTAAACCCCTGATAAAGGTGCATTTGCTGCAGCCAAACCAGTCCAGCCTCTTCAGTTGGTGCAGAGCACAGGGCATTTACAGTTATCCATGGAAATTCAGCGAGCAACCCTGCACTTCAAAAATATGATTTCATCTGTCTGCTCACCAGGCCAGCCATGAAGGTTTTTCTCATGATAATTCAGAATCTTTTTTGTCAGCCTCTTTTTAAAGCAGAATCAGGAGGGGAAAAAAAGTGTGATGCATTTACATGTGTGTTTTTTGTTGTGTGGTTCAGTTGCCCTCTCTGAAATCCTGAACATGCTAATTTTAGGCAGCGTTTGAATCAGCTTCAACCACCTCTTTGGCTGCCCTTTCTCCAGGGCAGAGCAGCAGAGCTCACACTGGGGCCAGCACCCCTCGTGCCAGGTCTGGGCTCAGGGACAGCCCTGGCAGCAGCACGTCACCCACAAAGGACAGTGTGATGGGCCGTGGGTACTGAGCTGCACTTGTGGGGTTACATCTTTGGGGCTTCCAGCCCTCCTCCTGCTGGCATGCATTGCTGGCACAGTTGTGCCACATATCCTTCAGATGTTTTAAAAAACAAATTTTCAAATGCTTAAATGTTTGGGGTTTGGTTGTTAGAAATGTTCTGTCTCTTAAAAAGTGGTCTGTCTATTCCCATCACTTTCCTCGGCTGGAAGGCAACGTGAGAAGCAGTAGAGGAAGGTGAAGAAAATCTGATAAGAAATAATTATGACCTCAGAAAAAAAAACTTCTTCCTGAAGACTGTGTGAAATTGGCCTGTTTCCTGACCTGTAGAATGTCTGTCTGTCTATCTGTCTGTCTCCACCTAATTCATTATCTGAACATTTGGAACACTGATGATTCTTATGGTAATAGAAATGCCTGCACCTTTGCTTAAAATAACTAAGCTGTATGTCTTCCACTAGAATTCCACTTTGAATTAGAGAATTTACCCAGAAATTTAAGAAAGCCACCAAAGGAATTAGCTAGTTTCAGTCTTTTCTAGGTTTTTTTTTAAAGTCTGGATAATCACAGTTATTTGAATATACAATTTTTTGGATTCTTATGAGAAGCCAGCTGTGACCGACAGCAGTACAGATTAAATGGATGCAAACTGAACCAGGAGTGCAAACTCATGCACAATCCTGAGCACAGGCAGACACACACACAGAGTCTGTTTTTTCAGTAATCTGAGAAGCTGAAATTTTGTTGTGCTGTGGTGTCTCGGGAAAAAAGAAAGATGCTCTCTAGCTGTCTGAGACTGTATGTGATCAGAGCTTTTAACATAGCATTCTTTGTATTTGGACTTTTCGTCATTTGGGTATTAGTAAATACTTTCTGGCCTGGGTTTTTGTATTCAAAACGATTCCCTCATCCATTTATCTTTCATCTTCTGCTCTGTGGAATGTTCTTGTCACCAAAATACAGGGTTACAATGTGAGGAATGTTAATATCTGAATTAAATTGTCAGAGGAGGAGAACTGTTTAGTGTGACAGACTGCAACTGGGGATATCCTCTTTGGCCCTGCTCACACGCTCACACAACATTTTTCTATCTAGTCTTAAAAGCAACAATAATATGTGTTCAAATTACAACAGTTAAAAACTTTGAACTTGTAATGAGCTAATGTATGAATGGTATGGTATGGTATGTCTGAGTGAACTTGCACAAGAGAATTTCTTGATAATGAAATCAGCAGATAGGCAGAACATTTAAGGGGTTTCTCTGCAGAAATTCTATCCCAAAATATTCATTATTTCTACCAGTAAAAATACATAATTGTAAGTTTCAGATATGTGTTTATAGATATCTACACACACACATGTTAAGAAAATACTTTCATTTTCTGCAGTATTATTACCACAGTTCTAAGTTAATTAGCTATATGTTACTTACAGTAGATTTTAAGTCAGTTTCAATGGCTCTTCATTAGCTTAATCATGACTGAGTCTATTTTCACTGAATCTGCATTTAAGAAGTGAAAATAAATGAAAAGCCTTGCAATAATATCTTTCTTTTATAAAAAGAATGGAAGGCTGGCTCTGTGTAGTTTACAATAACTATTTTTTTATTTTTTGTTAATATGAGTGTCTGTTTTTCAACTAGATGTACATTAGGCATCCTGAAGCCCTACACCCACAGCCTGACATTAGACTACCTAGTGCTAGGTTTGATTTACAATATACAAATTACTTAAGAAGGTTTAGGTGTAAATAATCTCTTTAAGCAGAAGTTGCTCTTACTTTTTGGTGTAGTTTCACTTCATTACTTTCTGTCATCTTAGGAATGAAAGTCAAAAGCCCACAGATATTCTTCTTCTCGTTTCTGAGGAGCCCTGGTGATCACCAGTCTGAAGTTAACCCAGTAGATGTCACTGTGAGTCCTGTAGAGCAGTGGACAGTAGCTGAAGCAAGACTGAAATCCGATAATTGAAGGCTATGAACAGGCCTAGAGTGACAGGAGGACAGCAGGGTTGGGTACAGATGCTGGCATTGTTTAACCATATCTTGTTTACTGCTCTTTAAATTTGTGTGAATGGCTGTGGAAGGATCTGTTGCAAGTCTAACACAACGGGTGAAAGGCAAGTCTAAGTTGTAATTGTTTAGAAGAATGGAGTGAATTGATGACACACAGACCTCGCTTTCTGATTTATGATCATAAATATGACATGCTGAAAAATACTTCTGCCTTTCTTGCCATAGTCAACATTTTCTCTTGAGTTTGATGGAGAATATATAAAATACAGAATGGATGCTTTATTTTTAAATGCTTTTATGTAAATGCCAATCCATAACTGAAGATACTTCCAGAACTTGAGACAATGAACACTGCTTTGTATTACTCAGGTGCTAAAAGCCAATACATGTAATAAACTTAGATTTAGATAGGAATAGATACTTAGTAAAGTCTGCATAAGTAGAGCTAATGGCAGTCATATAGTTATCTACATAACTGCACATTTCCTTAGGAATCTGTAAAACTGAGCAGTCCAGCCTTGTATTT